ATGGGAGAGATGTGAACATCTTCTTCCCTTGGGCCTAAAATATTTATAAAATTACAGTGAGAAACACACTGTCAAAAAGGCAAGACACATGTCTCCTTCAAAATATCATCCAACTGCTTAATATTTTTCTTCTCAAATAGATATTGGTATTGTATCTTCTTTTCAATATTACATTTCAGTTTAAGGATAACTTCAGTATGTCATTTTTCAAGGGACCACCTGTCTCTTTGGAAGGACCATGGGAAGCAAAGTTCACAGTGAATCCACATCCTACCAGCAAGTATTTAGCATCAGAATTGCTATAGGCACCTGTCTAATATTTTAACTCTTGGAAAGGAAAAGTGACGTTTAAAATGCTCACATCCAGGGATGGAAATGGAAGTTAAAGGAATTTAAACAGGGAACCCCAAATATAAATACATGTTGCTTGCAGGATCAAAACAGTGTTATGCATATGACTTAAACTTTTCTAAAAAAAAGCACATCTGAAAAAAAATTAATCATAATCCCCCACTTGTTTAAACAGAATTTTAATTTATAATGCAATGTATTCAGAATATTTTATTCCTAAAAATAACTTTTGATTTCAAGCTGTTTTCTTTTTACTTCTCTTTTGGCAGATATTCATCAGATCAGCAAATGCAACCAATGGTAGATCACTCAGAAGTATTCTTTTAGCTGGGGCATTATAATGAACACGTTTCCGTATAGTGTTTGATTTCAAAGCTCCCACTATACCTTGAATTGTATGGATGGATCCAAATTACCTAGACTTATGCATACATAATTTCTATCAATATCAATTAAAACTGTACGTGAGCACTGGAGGGGTGCAGCAACATTCAAGACATTGCTTTTCAGAAGGGTTTGAATTGATAATTCATCTTGAAACATGAAAGGAAAAATATTTAGTATCTAAAAATTGTGCTTGATCTGAATGATACCTTCTAGTAGATTAGTTGCTAAACCTGTTTATAATTATTCCCCATTCCTGAGTGCCCCCCACAATTTTTTTTTGAAAAGCAAATGTGAATCTTAGAATCACTGAGTCATAGACCCCTAGGATGGGAAGGGACTTGGAGGTCTTCTAGTCCAGCCCCCTGCCCAGGGCAGGAATCCTCAGATCATCTCAGACAAATGGCTGTCCAACCTCTGCTTGAAAACCTTCAAAGATAGAGCCCCCATGACTCCAGGAGGCAGGCTGTTCCACTGCTTAATAGTTCTCATGGTGAGGTAATTCCTTTTTCCTTCCTCTGTGAAGTTTCCACCCATTGGTTCTTGTCTTATCATGGACAATAAATCCATGCCTTTATGACAGTCCTTCAAGTATTGGAAGGGTTGCTATTAAGTCTTCCCTTAAACATCTCTTCTTCAGGCTAAACACACTTAGTTCCTTTAACCATTCTTATAGGATTTAGCCTCCAAGCCCTTACTCATCATTGCACTCTTTCCAGTTCTTTAGTATCCTTCTTGTAATATAGCAATCAGAACTGGACACAATATTCCAGGTATGTTCTAATCAGTGCAGCATAGAGTGGAACTATCATTTTCCATGATCTGATATTATACCTCTGTGGATGTAACGCAAAATTGCACTGGCTCTTTTGGCAGCTGCCACACACTGCTGGCTCATGCTTAATCTGTGGTCTACGAGGATACTCATATTATTCTCACAAGCACTACTGCCAAGACTGGTACCACCTATCTTGTACCTGTACATCTGGTTTTTCCTGCTAAGTGCAAAACCTTAAATTTCTTGCCACTGAACTGCATACTGGTGCATAGACTCCAATATTCAAGTCTATCAAGACCCCTTTGAACCTTTAGTCTTCTTCCTAAGTATTATTAATCTTTCCCCCAATTTTGTATTGCCTGCAGACTTAATGAGCATCCCATCCAATACCCATGTCTAAGTCATTTATTAAAACGTTAAAGAGCACTGGGCCAAAGATACAACCCACGACACTACCCCGTTCATATCTCTCTCCAAATAAACATAGATTCATTAAGGACCACATGTTGGGTATGGGTGTTCAACAGCTGCACTCGATCTGGTAATGGAATCATGCATCCCATATTGGTCATTGCTACAAACCACAAAAATCCATCCAAAAACATCTAAAGCACACCTGAAGACCCAGTTACCAAAGAAGAAAAAACAGGGTTCTTCTACAACTTACAATGTAAGGACTATAATAGCCACTATGTAGGACAGACAGATAGAAGAATACATCCACAAACATCAATTGGCAATCAGAAGACATGACAAAGCTCCTTAATCTTGCAACACATAGACTGAATCATCTACTGTTTCAACTGAGAAACTTAACATTTTAATTCAAGCCAAATCCAAAAATGCCAGGGAATTCCTGGAAGCCTGAGAGTAGACAAATCAGCCCAGTCAGACTGACAAACCCCCTCTACATACCATTTAAAATATACAACCAAAAGCCAAGAAAGGAAACAAACATCACTCCTAGCAGGCAAAACCCAGATAAGCAGACAATGGCACCAGATAAATAACCAAGGAAGAAACAATGTTCCAATCAAGGAGCCATCAAAGAAGAAACCACGCCCCAACCAAGACTGGCAGGAGAAGCTGTTATATATAAACAGTGAGCAAATTCCAATCTCTCATGCACTGATGTTGTTACCTATGCTGGTAACAAAATGTCTGTAGGAAAACAGTCTTGGGCATGGGGTCTTGAGGTCAAGTGAGCCCATCACTATGAGTTGTTGTTGTTGTTGTTATTATTATTGGAGTTGGGTTTGTTTTCAGCCACCATTACTTTTCTTATATTTCTTATCATGTATGTTTGACTGGTTTTAACCCTATGTGTGCTGCCCAGAGTCGCAATTGTCCATTAGGGAAGAGTATTCCTCAACCGGATTACCTTTGAGTTTTTAAGAAGATTCACCCAATTACAGCCTATCCCAGGGTGCAGCTTTTGGCATCTTCTGATCTATATTCTTAATCTGAAGGAAATCAAAGCATGCACCATATAAATCTCTTTAGTGACTGAGTTGTACCTCAGTGCCTCTTCAATAATTAGTAGAGGATCCATATTTCTTCTTCTTCTTCTTCTTCTTCTTCTTCTTCTTCTTCTTCTTCTTCTTCTTCTTCTTCTTCTTCTTCTTCTTCTTCTTCTTCTTC